AACCTGCATACTTGATACCTGGGGCCAATTTCACGGCGCTGCTAAGCACAAAAATTTGCTTAGCACAAAAGAAGTCTGGCTTGTAAAAGCAGGTTACCAGCCAAAAACTCCATGTGATGTATGTTGCTCGTGATTAGTGTTCAGCTGTTGTTTGCTTAGCATAATTACGAAACGGAGTTTTGGCTGGTAGCAGCTTTTATCAGCCAGACATTTTTTGTGCTAAGCAACTTTTTGTGCTTAGCAGCGCCGTGAAATTGGGCCTGGTTGGAAGCAAAACATAAGATTGGAAGAAAGCGAAATTAAAGGACTTGTTGGCCAGCAACATTGGAATGTCTGCAGTTATAAGTTTCCCATCAATTTTTTTCTTGCATTTTTTTTTTGGGGGGGGGGAGGGGAGAATTGCATCTCGACAACTATTATGTTTTGTACTCTCTAATAAACAAACAACTAGGGGTTGAAGTTTTCATTTCGATCCTGCAAAGATTAGACATCGATGATCTGAAGTGTCGCTGTTAAAACAGGTCACCCTTAACAGCCAGTGTGGATAGCAGTTAAGTAGTTGATAAACCCATAGCCCCGTGTCTGGCGTTATTGACTGGGAAGTCTGGCCCATGAGCATGATGATGATGACGTGTGTCATAACGCCCGGCGACGTTGAATGAGGTGTTAATATAGGATGTTGCCCTAGCTCAGAGATATGAAATCAGTTCATCGCGATGACTAGTGGCAGTGTTTCCGCTGGGGTAACTCACCGCCAGTGTGAGTCAGGCAGACATCATTTCGTAGTCACTGAAAATCCTGTCTCTCGTTTTTAGACAGTCATCGTAGACCCCAAAAAATAAAATTGTGTCTTGGTAATGAGGCCACATGTTTGGCTAGTATTGACAACAGGACAAGGCAAAAGCCTTGTAATTCTATTAAATTTTGTAACACCTCACCCACAGATTCTGTGTCTTGATTGGCCGAGAGCGAGGCACATGTTACTTTCTATTTTTGCTATCTTTCTGTGCACGGCCAAAAGTACTATACCCGTAGCAACCAAAGTACTATACCATTGGCAACCAAAGTACTATTTCCACGGTGCGGTATTTGTGTGCAAATGGATGCTTGTGTGCGCGTTGCGCGTAGCGCGTATTGTTCCAAAGAGAGCACGCCGCAGATTTGGGTTCAAACATTTCGTGAAGGGGTAGTTTGGAAGAGAGAAATACATTTTCCACCAATTTTGTATTGAAATTGAAATTTATTTCATCTGTGTTCAGATTTAAATAATTTAAAATATTAAAATCAAGCAGAATCTGTGGGTGAAGTGTTATAAAACAAATATTGAATGCTTTATCTCGTGGTGAAGTAAAACTAGCCTCCCACAATGATCCATGGACCATTCTATTTTGCCTCGGCTTCGCCTTGGGAAAATAGAATGTCCATGGAGGCTAGTTTTACTACACCACTCGAAGCATTCAATATTTGTATACTATTTCAATTCTGTTCAATTTATCGAGAACGGCTATTCACTGGAATAGCACGGCAGATAGGTGATGGAATTGTGCCTTTGATGATACAAGCATGGCATTTGGCACACAGTCAGAGTATGTGATGAGAAAGATATTTGGTTATAGAGCCATCGCAGATTTGTCCTTTGAAAACATGTAGGTGGAATAACAAGCATTATACAACACCTGAATCAATCCCCGTCATCTGATTGGTGGATCGTTGATCACATGCCATTGAATTATTCGTCCCAACGCACAGCACGCGCACGGCGCAGTGCAATGGAAGTTCTATTGCATTTGCACGGTAAATGGAACTACGGTGTCACTGCTGCTGGTGGTGGCGCTGTTTTAAATCGAGATGAATTGAATATAATTGTTCTCAACCTGTTGAACAGTTTGCATTGATATAAATATGATGAACTTGTCGAACTTTTAAACAGTTTTTAACCTGAATAAATTGGCTATTAAAAGTCAACCAATCAGATGACAAGGATTTAGTCAGGTGTTATATAAAACAAATAATGAATGTTTCACGTTCGTGCAACGGAAAGAATAATTTCATTCGGTGACGGATGAAATGTGCCATTCCACGAGGCGAACTTTCATCTGTCACCTCATGAAATTATTCTTACCATTGCACTCACAAACATTCATTATTTGTATAATGGCAGCCATTTTGAATATTTTGAAAATAGCTTGTTGTTCTTCCTTTATTTTTTTTCAACAGTGGAACAATATCCTGTGGTTTCATTTTTGCAGTTTTGGGAGTTTTCTTTAAATTGTGAAAGAGGTTTGTGTAATGGGAAAAAAGTGTTATGACAAACAACATTTCCCTGAATTGACTATCATTGTTGTGATACTTCCTTTTTCAGGGTGTTTTGAAAACTTTGATGTCCGATGTGTTGTACATGTATGTTGCAATGCCTTTTTATTTTTTAAGGCAGACAAGCTTGTGACATCAATTGAGAGTAAGTTCAGTCCATTCTTGTCATATGAAAAGCTGTTTGAACTGCAAAACTGGAGAAAATTTCCCAGCGGGTTGATTGTCGGTTACACAATACGCAGTTATTCCCATTAGATCTGGAGAAGGGAAGCTCAGATTTTATGTGAGTACCGATGGAGAAAAACCGAGTTCAATTTTTGTGAATTCCTTACGAGGGATGTGTTTTTTGTTTTAAATAGAGAAATAGTCGCACTGTTTAGCTAGAATTTTTGCGCGTATGGTTCTCCGGATCATCGATCATGAAAACTGCATATTGAAGTGCTGTTGGGCTTGTAGACTTGTCATACATGTACTGGTATATATTCATGGTTGATTGGTGCCGCTCGTCCAATCTTACAGGAAATATAAACTGTTCAACAGATGGTCGTCTCTGCTTTGTTGGGTAACATTGGCTCATTAATAATTATGATATTGAGTTACTGTAACCAGACATGCATCTGTTATTTGCTGAATATAAAAAAGGAAGCTTTTGACACATCACTTTGAAGATGGGTAGAATAAAGCGTAAGCAATGTAATTATCCCTAGCCTTCCCAAATCCTCCAAAGTCCTCTTTGCAAAATGGAGGATTTCGCAGGATTGAGGCTACATGGCAAAAGTGTGTTGCTGATTTCGGAGGTTGCACTGTGTCGAGGTCTTGGGCCGGTCCTTGTGTTGTTTATGCTCAGCCGTGCATAAATTTAGGCCTAGATTATACTTGAAATCCTCCGCACTGCTCCAGGATGTCGCTGGCTCTGCCTCAACATACTAACGGTGATTGCTGGAGGATTTTGCAGGATTGAGGCAGTGGTCACGCCTCCAAGGCCCACTTTTAAGAAATAACAGAAGATTTTGCTGGATTGAGGCTGTATGCTAGTTTTACATGGAGGCAGTTGGAGGATTTTGCAGGATTGAGGCTACCTCCTAGCAAAAATGCCAAGGGAGTTAGGGTTTTAATTAAAGGCAAGTAGAAACATTTGCAATTACCTGGAAACGTACCTACCAATTTAACGAGAAAATCCTTGCTCAAAGTGAAGATGGGACTGGTACCAAATACCCTGTGAAATTATTCTGCCTGAAACAGTTTCATTCGGATGGAAACAATCATTGAAGGTGGTTTAAGAAAGTGTGCCCAAGGGCACTGTTTTTTATTACGTGCGTTAGCAACGGAATCCAGTTTAATACGAGACCCCAAAAATTGTACCTTCAGTTTCTCTGTTTTCTCAAAATGTATAGCATCCACTGAGCTGTAACTTCAACGAGTTAGTTGTTGGGCAGTGGGCACCCTTCTTAAGATTTCAAGCAATTTTCTTTCTTCAAATGAAAAAAATGCACAGAAACAAATAATCCTATGTACCTTTTTAGTATGCATTTCCTTTTCATCCGCAAAATAAAAAATGCGTTTGTCTGATTTGTGACAAAAGGAAATCAAGGATGGTTTTTCTACAAAATAGTAAATTTTTAGCTGCTGGTAACAGCTCAACAAACCATCATGTCTCTCTGTTAGAACTAACAAATGTTGGCATTGTCTGTTGCTCCTTTTTTTAAGGATTTTACCCAAACTTTGTCCAAAGTATAAGTAGCCCAGCCCCAATATGTTACATGACCAAACTGGGTCAAAGGTCATCATGGTGTCACTGGGGTCAAAAACCTGATTTTTTTTTAAACCCAAAACACCACTCCTTCCAGAAATTACATGCCACAATCACATGACTCGTGTATGAAAACGAATTCGTTGGCCCGCAGCTTCCGAGATCCGGTCGAGCTTGTGTATGAAATTTATTGATGCTGTTTCTGGATGGTCAGAAAAAAAGCCTTTCTTGATACAAGCCTATAGAATGGAATAAATGCATAATACCTTGAAGCACAAAGCCACAAGCACAAAAATATTCATTTAATACATAACGTACACATAAGTAACATAGGTTCTGTCCCCCTTGTTTAACTGAAACAGAATTTTAAAATGAAAGGTTACATTTGTAAGGCAAAAGCCAATGTTGTATGTATATAAGCACATTAAATGTTTACTCGGCAAAAACATACATTAGTTATCAGTTAGACCTGATGCTTTGTATATATTTGCTCCTGACTAAGAAGAATTTCACATTTATTGGTCGGTTTTATTTATCCAAAATTGAAACATCACAGGCCGATGATCTTCTGTAACTGGGGCCTATCGGCAAAAGACAACACTCTGATAATCAATCTGTGGTGTCAGTTCATCCCTCGAAAAGTTGTGGTTCTGATTAATTCGTTCTGTAATTAATCTAACGCTCGGTTGGATCATTAGCAGACTGATACATCACAAGAGTTTATTTCAGTTTACATGGTCTGAGATGTACGGTCACGTTGGTTACGTTTCTGGAGCATGAGTGAATTTGAAACCTTTGAAAAGCGCAATGAATTCATAGACTTACTCTTCATATAAAAGTCATGTAAACATAGCTGTGAAATCCACACACGTAATGCTGTTAAAAAAAAAGAAAGAAATTAAAACATGAAATGGAATATTTCGGCATTGTAAATGAAACTAAAAGATCGTTTGATTTCCAGCGACGAAATGCTTCGTGGAAGATTAGTTTTTGTTTTGCTTGGGAGTTGCAGGTACATTTCCCCTTTATTTTCTGGAAAAAGACCAGTTTCTGTCATCAGCTATGGTCAGCAGAGGGGGCTATTTATCATCCCAGGTTTTGTGTGGGTTTTTTTAATTTCTTCTGGAGAGTAAACAGTTCAATCTGTGAAAGGAAACAACCGGTTGCTCTATTACAAGAAATCGCAAAGACTAGTCAGCCAGTCTGAAATCGAACCCTAGAGGGAGGAAACCATCTCTCATCTCCGATCAATTATCTTTCCTCTATGATGTCACAGGATCTAAACTGAAAAATAAACTCTCTCCGATTTTGCACCGTGCCGCGTGCAGTCATGCACACCCCTCTTGGCGAGATGGTATCACCCGTACCGCTCATTTCCTGTGCTGTGTTGTGTGTGTGTGTATGGGCAGCTATTTTGTGAGTGGCGGGTCAGATGGCTTGTTTATGCGGAGCGGTGAAGTAATAGGTTGATCCTACATTGTAGCCAAATAATAGGAATTCCCTCAGCTGAAGGCCGGCCAACGCGAGAGAGAGAGAGAGTGTGTTGTCATCCCTGCAAACCCGCGGATCTTATAATAGTGTTGTTCTACTAGCACTGCCAGTTTACTCTTACCCTGTTGGATATATACACACACTGGAATATACCGAGCATGGATGTAATGGGGTAACACTATGGGATCATTACCCGGACAAGCTTGTCGGGGACATATTTTTGTCGGTGCGCGGGTAAGAGCTCAGGATTTGATTACCGTGCGCCTTAGCACCCGGGAGTGACGTAGGTGTATACATGTGTGTGTGTGTGGAGGCCCATCAGTGGATCCTGTCTTTGGATATATTACATTTCTCAAGTGGAAGACATATTTATTCATGAGTTAAAACGCCAGCTCCTCCTGTGTGTATGATACACACGCTGCCTCGTCCGTCACAGGAATCTAAATGCTCTTAGTGGATTTCTAATTCTACATTCGACAGATTTTTTTTTTTTTTTGGCAAGACATCTGAACCGTGGATTATATATACATTGTGCGTGGCTTGTTGGATGTATTTATTTGTTGCCAGGGGGCACTGCACATGGTGCTGTTGATTTTAAAGGTAAGGTCGTGATGTGACACCGACACACTGCGTGTCAACCTATTGTGTCAAATTGCTCTTAATGGGAGGGTTGTTAAATCGGGGGTTATATTTAATGTGTGTATTTGTAGCCGACATCCTTTTTTTTTTTTTTTAATAGTCGCTGGTTAAATGGCGTGTAACCTTCGGACTGCCAATCCCTTGATATAACAAATCCTGTCAAATTGACTTTGTCTGCCTGGTTGCCATATATAAACCTTTGTAACACGAGTAATAAACAAACAATAAATTCTTGTGTAGCAATAAAAAGATACTTACATGTAAAAGCTAGATTATAATTAAAATGCAGCCAGTTTTTTGGGGTCAAAATATTTGCATAATTTCAAATTTTATCAAATTTTTTTTTTTTTTTTTAATCAAATCCACATACAGAATTACAAGTTATTACATTATTACAGAATTACATGTTCCTGCTTCACTTTGAAACTAACATTCTAAGTTTGTTTAGATATACGTCAGAGATTCTGTTTCAGAAAATGGAGCAAAAAAAACCCCCCAAAAAACAGGAAATCGCAAATACAACCCCAGAAAAAAGGCACTAATGTCTAAAAACATATTAGGTTGTTGAATGATAATGACCCAGTAATCATCACCCTAGCCAGCCAAAAAATAAAAAAAATCAGCAGAGTCTAGATCATATCTATGAGCAGATCATTTACTTTGTAATATGTTGCTGGCAAATTAAATTTAAAGGTCATATACAAATTTGCAAACATCAAGAAGCAAACTACCGGCTTATTGTGAAAATACCTTGCTTGACTGTAAAACTGCTATATTACTAGTCTCACGCACTCTGTGAAATCATGGCACTTGGTGTGCTGTCATTTTCAAGAAAAGTTGAATTTTTGTATCATTTTCCAACAGTGGTCGGCTGACCATCATTGGAAAAAATTAAGTTTTTCAGTTACTGCCCCCAATTTACCATATTTTGTTTGCAATTTAATACTCACCTATGAATGGGCACAAGCCAGCTAGACTGGTTCCCTGACCTTACAATTCCCAGACATCTTTAAATTGCTCCGTTTCATCCTAAGTGGGGTCCGGTAACCAGACTACAGGAACATGATTGTTTTTCTTAGTTTTTCAAGCATCTACGACCACAAAACTTCAAAGAAGTCAGTGTAACAATATTCGCTGTAAAATTCTAACCCCAAAATCCATCCATTTCTGAAAATTACAGCAAAAGGAAATGTTGTTCCCTTTAATCATGCTTTAACCACTCGTCAGTATAAATATCTTGTAATGTTCTTATGAGCTCAAGTACATGTAAAATTTTACATGTAACTATACCGGTACATTAGGGGCTTGGAAAATGTTTCTTCCACTGCAGTTAACACCATTTATTAGATTCCATGTTATAATGATTACAATTTTAATAGCTCCATTGTAATGTACAGCTTGTACATTTTGGCTCTAATTTAGGAAACTTTAAAGGCCTAATTTTGTGTGATGATATACGAGATTTAGGTATTTGCATTGTGTACATAATATGTAAGTGGGAGATGTCTAATAGTCAATGCACATGTAGGCCTGCACGTCTAATAACCGCTAATTATCGTGGTGTATTGGTTAATTATCTGAAACCATTACACAAGACTATTTAGTGTGCTTAATGCAGCGTGCACTCGTCTTAATCACCCCCCATAGTGTGAAATGAAACCTCACGGTTCCCAAGTGGGCAGGAACTGTAATTGGCCCAGAGGAACTTTCTCCCTTTTGTTCAAACTTCAGGAAGGTTGGTTGTTAAATCCTGTGACTGCGGTTCCCACTTGGGCTTGAATTGTAATTGGCCCAGAGATTTTTCTTCCTGGGTTCAAACACCAGGAAGGTCGATTGTTAAATTCGGATGTCCTGTTACTGCAGTTCTCACTTGGGCTTGAATTTTAATTGGCCCAGAGGGTCTTTCATCGTAGGTTCAAACACCAGGAAGGTTGATTGTTAAATTTGGATGTCCCATGTAACTGCAGTTCCCACTTGGGCTTGAATTTTAATTGGCCCAGAGGGTCCTTGCCTGCAGCCATGGTTCTGGATAAGGTTGATTGATAGTAGTTTGAGAGTCCTGTAGCTGCAGTTCCCAATTGGGCTTGATTTGTAATTGGCCCAATCAGTCTTTTCCCATTATCCATGGTCTAGGATCACGGTTGACTGCTAATACTGTACTTTGGACACTCTGCTACTGCAGTTCCCAATTGGGCTTGAAGTGCACATGTAATTGGCCCGGAGGGTCTTTGCCGTTATCGATGGTTCAGGCTAATGGTCGACTGTTAATAGTGTGGATTCCCAAGGAACACATTTTGCTACATTAGTCAGCTAAGCATCGCTGTGCACGTAATTGTAAACCACTAATGTACATGTCCAGTATGTACGGTACTGTACGTCTAGGGTTTAAAATTAAAACAGGTTATTCTTCTTTTCTATTAGGTTTTTGTTTAACCATGGTGACAAATCCCAAATAGGGCTTACATGTCAATTATCTATAATTGAAGAGATGTTGATCATAAAAGTCATAAAACTGTGCTTCCTCGGAAATTAGTCAAAAGTTTTTCAGTGATGCATCAGGAAAAAAAATGATCACATGCTTTGTGAAAAAGACACATTTTGGGCGGAGGTATTTTTAGGCGAGCTTAAGATTTAAATTGGACGGCCCAGTGGATTATTGATGTGTAAAGCCGTCAGGAAGTAACTCTTAGAATAGTCATAAGCAGATTTCATTTTGCCAAATGAAATTGGAATAATCACCAAAGTCTACATTTATTTTTGGAGTTCACCTGCCACGTTTATTCACAGGTTGTTTTAGCGAGCGCGGTTCTTATCGCAGTCATTTTCATTGGTGGTTGCGATTCTCCAGCCGACAACTGATCGTCCATTGATTTTTTTCCATGTCAGTAAACGATACACCGGGCCCGCCTCAGCCTTTCTGTTTTAGCCCTCAATTAGTGACAGACAGCAGTCTTCCCAAGCAGACAGAATTGCACAGGCTGTTGAGCACGTTGAGCATGGTGTCCCCCTCCCCCCACCTCCCCTCCCCCCCCCCCCCCCCCAACTGGCTGATATTATATGACTGTGATTATCAGAGTATAATGTCAAGGCTGGCTAAAAGCAATCACATGCTATTATTACTAGGCAGCACTTGATGAGCTTTTCAGGATGCGCTGGTAATCGGTTTAATTTATTATATTGCTCTGTTGGGAGGACATTAGGAAAACCCATTTGTGTTTATAGCAAATATATTTGCAGTCTCTGGTCATTTCAAAATTTAACCCCCCCCCCCAAAAAAAATATGGCTTACAAATTACGATAGAATTTTGCCCGTCCGACAAAAAGGCCCTTATAATCGAGGCCAAACCTTTTTCTAAATGTGTTGAAATTAATAGAGTTTGCACTTTGCAAATATATTTGCAGGCTCTTGTCATTTCAAAATTTAAACCCCTCCAAAAATATGGCTTACGAATTACGATATAATTTTACCCTTCCGACATAAAGACACTTATAATATTGGCCACACCTATTTCTAAATGTGTTGAAATTAATAGATTTTGCACTTTTCCGTGTGAGAGATTTTTTGAGAGTTTTATTTTGATCTGATTTCTAATTTTTTTTATTTTTTTTTGAGGAGACTCTGATTGATTTCATTTTTCTAACATTATTTGATCTTTCAGATTGAGGAAGTATTGGTTCAACGTAATATCAATCAGTGTTTGTTATACATGTATGACCTTGCAAAAATGACAGGAATTAAAAAAAAAAAATTCTTTTGGCATTTGTATTGATACTATTTAAAGGTAAATGGACATCATTTGCTAACATTAAAAAAATGAAACTGTCAAAATATCATGAAATGACCTACTTTATTTTAAGTAAACAATAGGTTCAAGCATCCTGAGATATCACTGCGCCTATTATGCAGTCATTTTTGGAAAAAAAAAGCAGAATTATCATTTCCTCACGATGGTAAGGACCAAACCATCGCACCTTCAACAGCAATGCTTTCGCGTCGAGAAAAATGAAGACCCATTTTCACACTTTTGTCAAAAAGTTTATCTACCAAGCTACCTGGTGCCATGATTTTTTTTAGGATGCTGTAGACTGTCATTCACTAACAGTCAAGTAGGGAATTTCATAATAATTTGGTAGTTTTGTTTTTTGATGTTTGCAGATGTTGTATAAATAATAATAATTCCAAAGTCTTATATAAAGCACGTATCTACCAACAATTAGGTACTCAAGGCGCTGGAAATTATGTCTATTATTAGAGACAGATAAATGAAGTACATGAGAAATATGAGATTCACTATGTAGCACCTTTATAATGGGTTACAAGGTGCTGTGGCGCATTAAGCAGCCACTACCAGAAACACCAGGGAACATGGTGCTTGTGCTCTTGAGCAAGGCACTTTACCATTATTGCTTCGTCCTTCGGATGGGACGTAAAGCCCTAGGTCCCGTGTGTTGTGTAATGCACGTTAAAGAACTCAGTAACACTTATCGTTAAGAGAAGGGGTTCGCCCGGTATACTTCCTTTAAGATCTCATAAATCAGGTTAAAATAACGAATTGAAATATCTCATCTACTGTTGACAGAGATAATCCGGTCTCCCGCACTGTACACCACAGTACAATCACTATGGGTTTGGGGCAATTTTCAAAACCCAAACAGGACACCCCAATCGTTCCCCATGAATAGATCTTTCCATAGGCCCACCTTTACTGATCACGCTTCATTTACGCAAACCCCTTTCATCTCCCTTGTCCTTGTTCAGTTGATCATTATCCATACTACTAGTACTCAGGGACTCAATTCATCAGTGTAACAAGACTAGCAAATGTTGCGACCACCGAGGCCCATCATGCGTTAACTGAATAATCACTTGACAAAACACAAACAATCCTGCAGGGGGTTTACCCCAGGAACCAGACCGAGCAAATTGACTCTTTACTTGCCCGCTGTTTGGATTCACTGGC